AGCAGCAGGGACTTTCTTCCCCCTCCTTATTCCAACCAGCCTCATTATGATCATAACGAGAAAGGGGCTGGTGCTCTGTTTCAATATTTAACACACTGGTACCCCTGAAGGTTCAACGTCTGGGCTATTCGGCGAATTCCTCAAAATCTTATTACTGCCAGATGGCAAAGGGTCTCTCCTGTTTTATGTTGGGGGTTTTTTTTCCAAGGGGCTGGATCTTGCTGAAAGCTCCACCCCATGCTCTGATGTGCAAACCTGAACGACATGAAGACTTGTTGAACATGAGACCCCTGGGTGACACCTCTTACCCCGACACCGAAGATGACAGAAACACTGAATGCTGCGGGTGAGACGGGAATTCTCCCTTGGCAGTGAGTACTAGCACAACAGGCTGCTGCATTTCACAGCAGCCAGTCATAGAGGACTTGGCTCTTTCTGCTTCACTTCAGAGATGCTGACATTACAGGTCAGCAGTTGGGAGAAAACAGAGGCATTTCTGACAGACAGCTCTATAATCTAAAATGCCAGTGTTGAGGCTTCACCAACTGGCAGCAAGAATTATGAGGAAAGAAATATGCCACTGCAACAAAAAGGATCTGCTGCTACTCCTGCAGAAATAAAACTATACAGCATACAAATTACATACAAATATATATATATTAGGGAATAGCAGGTGGATTTTTACATTTCAAGTATATTTTTTTCTTCTTTTAATTTTGAAAATTATGGCTTTAAGCTAAAACCTCTTTAGCAAGAAATGCTGCATCAATGCTGTGTTGCATGGAGGCCAACAGACTGTATAGGGTTAGCATCTTCGTCAAAGCTCACCAGCAAGGGGGGCCCATTAAGTGGTCCAAAACTTCTTGGTAAATGACTACCCTGAGTCTAGATTTGCAAAAAACAACCTAGAACAATGCCATTGGATGTAATGGATCCTCATATTTTCGCTTACTATGGAAACTTCACATTGGGACTAAAGCAGTTTGGATTCTTTACCTCTAATACCTCATTTTGCATTAGCCTATGTCAGACATTTCTGACAATCTAAGGTTCAGAGTAGTGGTGGCTGCTGATCTCTAGAACAGGGGTGGATTAGTGGTGTTAATTAAATCCAAACATCTATTACATGAACAAAAGTTGAAAGACATTAAACACATCCCACAAAATGATGATGAGGTGAAAATTGCTGTCGTGAAGCTCTGAAATAATAAACTCCAGAAACCATAGCAAGAGTTCCGCTCACGATGACTGTTCAGACTGAATGATTACTTTTACCTCTAGACTCAAGAGGAAAACCTCCTCACTGTCAAAAATCCTAAAGTACCCTTCAGCCAATCAGCATCGAGCAGCAAGCTTAACGACTCGCTCCTGCTCCATTGACCCCCCTAAGAAGTTGAGCCTCACTGGAAGTGACGTATTTTTGCATGTTATCCAATCAGGGCTCTACTTTCTCGCTGCTTACCTCAATAGACGGAGGCTCAGACCTCAACATTGATTCTCACAGAGAGTGACAGGCAGCATCCTGCTGCTCCAGAGCAGAGGGTGTACGGCATCGGAGAGCAGAATAAACAGCTGATTAATGGGCAACATACCCATGAAATTTAGCCGCATTTTAGAGCATATTTAATGCAGTTTAATGACTAAATTTATCAGGTTTGAAAATACATATTTTACCAATACTTTTAAGAAAATTACTGGGGAAGTTTAGCCTCCATAGTATTGCATGAGAAATCGCCACTGTTCAGGAGTGACTTAATGATCCAGAGATCCAAATCCAAAGTGCACTTTACATGGCACTGTTATTTCCTTCTTTTTGCTGTGTATTTGTTAATTAATGATATAAAATAAAATTACCTGTGTTCATTTTTTTACCTTTTTAACAAGGTTTCAGCCAAGGCTAAAGCCTTCACTCACATGGCAAGAGATATGGTTAATTCAATCAATGGTTGAAGTGGATCAGCGTTGGATATCGGCCGACACGCTCAGCCCAGGTATCGGTATTGCATTGGATAAAAAAAAAAAACTCGATCTGGAATCTCTAATTTCTGTGTGTAGTAGCTCCGGCGGACATCAGCTGCTGACATCTTACATCTTATGGGATTCCTATTTCTTTTGGTAACCCTAACTGTGAAATATTTTTTCCTTCCACTTTACTTTTCATAAATATGCTTGGATACAACACCATAAACATCTACCAAAATTTAAAATGTTTATTTGGGTGAGATATATTAATCTGAATGCAATAAAATAAAATGGTTTCCCTTTTTGGAAAAAAAACAACAAAACAAGTTAATTGATCTTAACTGGTATCAATAGTTTATTGATTTACATCATTTATTGAAATAGACATGTAACTGCAAGTAAGGTTTGTGACTGACCAATATTTTACCTGCTTGTTGAGTACTAACTGTATCAAAAGGGGAAAAAAATGGACTAACACAGAGAAGAGGCATCTGTTTCATTTATACTTTGTGATATTGTCACCTATAGGTCAGCAGAAATACTGAAAGCTACAAGGACAAACAAACAAACAAAAATAAAAAAGCATGTCCATGTAGTATGATAGTCAATCCACTACTCTCAACCCTTCAATGATTAAACTCTGTTTGCTGTGGGATCGATGCATGCTGAAAAAGAGAATCCCAAAGCAGGGTGAAGTTTACAGAGCTTTAGCCTCAGGCTAAATGTTGTACAAAAACCAGCAACAACATCCCATGAGACGAAGCATATCTGTTGCTCCAGCTGAGCTTGTACTTGTAGGAGGCTTTTAAAATGTGCGCTGAAGGATAGCTGCTATTGAAGAGATGTGTATCCTTAAGGTAACGCTGTCGACTTTTCATTTGTTTTACCTCCTTTCTTTCTTTTCATTTTTACATCAGGAAAAGAGTCTGTTGAATGATTAGCGTTTGGGTTTTCCAGCCATCTCCTCCAATTTTCTGAGGTTATTGTGCGCTTTAGTCAATACTGAGAAAGGAAAGAGCTTTTTGCTTCATTTCTGACCTCCGGTTTCACTGACAGCTTATTTCCATCCCCCCTCATTATTCTTTAAGCATGCAGTAGACATAAATTCAATCTTCCTTATTATACCTTTATCAGTATGAAATTAAGGTTAATTGACTTTGCTGGGGAAACATCAAATGAAACATCCCTAATGGAAGCAAAATGAAAATAACGTCATCTCCAATTGCTTTAAAATATTTCTCAATATACAGCCTAGTTTCCAATTCCTCAGCCTCAGAAATAAGCTCCTCTTGTCCCGGGAGATAATAAATGAATCGAACCCCCACCACCCTCCAAAACCCCTCCTTCTTCCTTATCGGTCATCTATTTTTCCAGAGTAAGCTATTACTTGCTGAGGTTGCTAGGCAACAGGAAATATTAATAGCGGCTATTATTAGCCAGCCTCTGCAAGAGTAGTACTAAAATGTGGAAGTGGGAAACATGAATGTGTTACATAAATCTCTGGACCTTCTCAGTACGGCAAGTCTCTGTTTGTGCTGTGATTTATGGCAACGACGGTTCATTTATGAGAAAAGGTGGTGTGAAATAAGAAAATGGAACATTACCCTGAAGGGCTATTTGGAAATAAATAATTGCAAAGGTGAAACAAAAGGTGTTTAGGAAGCAGGCGTTCCCTCTGTGTTTGCTTTCAAAAAGTTGCTCATAAAAAAGGGAATCATTGTTCAACATGATAAGGAATCATGTAAAGATAAAAACTTTTCATATACAAGTCGGAGATGAAGAAAAATACTAAGTATTTATAGTGAGCCCTATTCACTTGAATACCCCTAAATAAAATCCAGAGCATTGAAAGGCCTAGAGAAGTCTTCAGTAAAGGCCAAACATCTGACCAAAACAGGATGCATGGCAAAGCCTGGTGGCAGCAGCGTCATTCTGTTAGAGAAGCTGGTCAGAATGAATAAGAGCTCAAATCTAGGGCAATCCCTTTAAAAGGACTGACAACCCTAAATATCAAGTTACAGCTGCAATAGCAGATGTGTCTGTCCATGCATTTCATTATTTCAGCCAGATAAATCTTCTTACTTTTTTTTTTATTTTTTTTTTTAGACTTAAACTAAAGATTTAACTTACACACTAGCCAGTGGCTTAATCCTAAAGACTGGCTCCACCAGAGGTCTTTCCCACCACCCAAAGAAAGAAAAAAGAGTTTTCAATTTATGCAGTTTGATTTAAAAAATCACATAAGATCTGATAGAGGATAAATGTCGTTGATGCTCACATTAAAGCATAAATATTCATGGTGGGGGGAGAGAGAGAAATAAGTAATATTTATGTCAGATGAAAGTATATAACACTGAATAATTCACCACAAGGGGCCATCTATAATTCATCTGGTTCGATTCTATGATTAAAGCATTTGAATGTGTTCGCCAGAGGTGTTTACATGTTCGGTCAGTTGCATGTATAACATAAGAGAGAGTCGTTAAATTAGGAGGGTGTTGTTGTTGTTGAGGGGGTAGCCAAGATATTCTGCATCCTTTTAGAAAGAAAAAGTAGCTGAAAGGGATATCCCAAATCCTCAATGAGAGGTTTGGTTAAAAAAAACACATTAAAAGATGTATTACAAAGTGTTATTTCTCTTGTTTTGGAGCGGTGAAGAAATTAAAAAAGGTATTTTGTCGAGGTCTGGATGTTAAGGAGAATATAGCTTTCTGTTATAAGCAGACTGCAGTTTGTACAGCTCAGTCTCTTCTTCATTGGGATTCAACTGAACTACTTGACTGATAGATTTATTTTATGATTATGTACAAGCGTTGGATAGAATGCAGAGGATTTTGTCATTTCCTTTTGATGTGTGGTATGCCTCAAGACTTAAAAACAGACAAAACTGTCTATGACAGAAACATGTCAATGTTTCAGACTGGTTGGCTGACTTCCAATGCCCTGACGGTAAAGTAATTCTATACTGTAGCCCAGAGCTTGACTTGCATAAAAGCCCACACTTAATACAAGGCCTTAAGGAAACAAACACAACTCACCGAGTGGATAGGCCCAGAGAGGAGGTGAGTGTCCTGACCCAGCATGTTGGACATCATCAGAGCGGGCAGCTCGGGATAGGAGTAGGTGTTGAGCAAGCCATTGTGAGGCAGTGAGTGGAAGGGGTAACCCGAATCGTGCTCTGTGAGGTGAAGCAGGGAAGGGTCAACGTGGTTTGGAGGCGTGATGGGGGGAATCTCGTAGTCTTCATCCCCTGTGCCCCCTCCTCCCCCTCCTCCTCCACCTCCACCACTGCTTCCTCGACCCTGACTGGAGTAGCTCTGGAAAAGAAGAAACAATGAAATGAGCATCTCCAACTTCTAATTGTCAGGTTTTGAAGAAGGAATTTTTTACTCACAGAGGACAAGAAAAAAAAAAGAAATGTATTGTTTCGTTACTCAAGGGATAGACAGTTTTATACAGAGCTACAAAAAATTTTAGTGGATGATTATACCCTTCCTGACTCATTAGAAATAGGAATTAATTTAATAATCAATAATAACAAGATGCAAAAGCAAACTGCTGGTGTGGAAGTTGGAGAGAATTACACATCTTATGTCATTACTTTACATTTTATCATTTTTTACCACGACTATGAAGAATCCTAACTCTGTCCATCCTGAAAAAATGGTGAATTATTAAATGTTTGCATTATCTTGGAAACAATAACCTAAAGCTCTATTTTAGACGCAATACACATGGGAACCCATGTTAGCCGTGCTTATAAAGACTGCATTATGCTAGAAAAATTTAATGACTGTCTAAATCATTTACATTAATTCTTTTGGTCCATAACACTCTCTGTAGGCTTTAGCATCCCATCCACTAAACATGTACATTAAAGGTGGCTATCAGGGTAAATCATGCCCAATGCTAACTTTTTGACTGGCATTTAGAAAGTGCATGCAAGGTACTCAAAAGATATATTTTTTGTATCAAAAAATAAAATAAAAATTAAACTTCTCCACTGTGAGATCAGTGAAATCAATCAATCTATCAATACTCAAAACACTCTAGCTAACCTGCATTAAAGCAAATCTTTGCAACTGCAAAGCTGCAAATGTTGATATATCGCAAAGCTGGCTGCAACATTGTATATTGTGCAGCTCAAAAGTTAATTGTGCTAATGTATATTTTTCATAAAACAGATAATATGCTCTGTAATAAGTTTTGCTTGTTTTGAATGATTAGATCCAGTTTAAGAGCAGAGCAGTCTAGAACCAACTTCTGCCACTCTTACACACACACTGTGATGTCACCATAATTAATGACTGATCGTTGAAAGACTGATTGAATGAAAAATTTAAAAGCCTGCATGTAAGTCAAATTACTTTTTTTCTATTAACCTGTTTTTAATTGTTAAATATTAAGCTGTTTTTATTTTATTTTAATAAATCTAGATGAATTATCATCTTGTGATATAGGACACTCATATTTAGCTTGAAAAGATGAAGGAGAAATTGAATGAATTTTTCTTAAATGTGGTATTTCTAGTTACCTCTGGCCAATTAACCGGAGATATATATCCTATGTATGGATTTTTAGTGATACTGAAAAAGAAGCACTATATTGTTGCTTTAAGTCAATAACAACTAAAACAACAAGAAGAAAAATAAATACATTTTATCTATATTTCTTTAAAAAAAGCTGGAATCAATAAATATTTGTATCAATTCTACATTTTTCACAGCTTATGTTTAATCCATCTATCTGTTGTCTTATTTGACGGCAATAAAAAGCAAACAAATTTGCAGCAAAAAAGATTAAAGGCAAATTAAAACCAGAGATGTGTACATTTTAACCTGCTACATGTAGAAAATACAAAGACGATTGCTTGTGTGGTGATGTCTCATGAAAAAGCAAAGTTAATCAAAAAATTAAACTTTTCTTAGACAGCAGCAAGAAAACAGCTTATCAAACATGCTCAAGACTAAAATAAAGAAATTCCCTAATTGGCTTTAAAATGCACCTGTTTATTTGTGTTGTTCATACTTGAGTATGAACAACGCTGCCTTTGCAGACACAGAACTGCAGCAGATACACTATTTTATGCTGGAAATGAAAATAATTAGAAATGCAAATTGTTGCACTTGGAAAAGTGTAAAGAATTCATTCAGCACAATCGTACAGAGTAAATTAATTAGTCAGACAACAACAGCTGCTATACAGAATAATTTGCCTCAGAAATCTTGACAGCTTTGAAGCAACAAACTGTCAGCCTGCACGCCTTAAAAAAACAGTGAATCAAATTCATTACGTGGAAAAACACACCACAGAGAGTCACTTAGTTGTTATTTTATAATCCCATAATTACTTTGGCAATTTTGTTTATATAAACAGAAAACCTGAAATGAAGAAAATGTTGCATTTCTCATAATGGAATAAATTCAGAATATCCAGCAGTTAAAGCAGGAGAGATTTTTATAGGGCTAATAAGGTGATACACGAGCAGTGTCTTTTCCAGGGCCTATCTTGACATAATGTTGCACGGAGAAATATGGTTTCATGCTCTCAAAAAGCATACTGAGGGTATTCACCAGGGAGTGAAAAGCAATTTTGTCAGAGGCAATCTGATGCCAACTCTCTTTTATAATGACTGAAGAAAATTAATCATCACAAATAATATTCCAGTGTCAGCCATTCAAGAGCTTTTTAATAGAATTTTTATTATTCATGTCTCGTGGTACACATCAACTAGTCCGTTCTGCAACATTTCAGAAATCAATTCAATATCATCTTCATGTAGGCTGTCATCTCGCCTGCCAGCGCAGCAATTCATCTTGAAAACAAATACTTTTAGCAAACAAATGGCAAGAAATGCTGGAGAAAAAAACCTCTAAAAAAACACAAAAGCAAAAAAAAAAAAAACACAACTGCAATGTGCTCACTAGTAGAAACAGTGCTTGAAGACAGGATGAAAAGTCTCATAATGTGCACTATCATTAGGGAGAAAATAATAATCATAATAAAATAAGAGTATGTTTACTACCACAGGGTGATGTGCCATTTTCTCTTCCCATAACAGTTATTGCTCAGAGCTTGTTTAGAAATATTGTCAGCACACATTTTTTTTCCCATTAGGTTGCACTATTGTCATTAGTGTCTATTATTTTTAACATACATGCCATGCATACGTATTTTGATATAACACACAGTTGCTACATTCACTGGTCATCCAAAACATCTATTTTACACAAATGTCTGTGTGCCTAAGAAGAGTTAGTAGGAATTATAAATGCCTTATAGCCTCAAGACATCTCAGCTTAAAGCAGAGCCCATAATATTCCTTTTTATCATGGAGCTTGATTATATTGTTCGGAGAACATACCTTTAGCCCTGACATATTTAGAATATCTACCAATGAGCTTTACTGAATTGAATAGAAATTTATTTTTGTTAAAGGGGAATGCCGTTATTTTTACATTTGTTTTTACGTTATTACATCATGTTCTAGTCACCCGTATGAGTTTTGTGTCATTTGGAGCCGTTCTGAAGATATTCCGTTAGGTTATATCAAAGTAACGTCTTCCTATGGGCAACCAGTTGAAGGCACAAACTGAACTGTTTATAATTTATTCTTTATGGTACGCCAGCATTCATAACATGTAGGTGAATCACTGTCCCCCAGACATCCGCGGTTATATCTTTTATATTTATATTTTTTAAAAACAAAGCAGAGCGTGTATGACGTCATCCGCGCGCGCCGGCTACTGTTCATTCTTCCTGTCCGTTGAACTGCTGCTAGTTTTATTCACATGCCTGGAAGATGTCTAGTGCTACTACCACAGATGATCTCACTCTCGAAATGGAATTGAACGATTCAGATTAGCTCGCCGAATGAATAGAAGGGGTAGAACGTAGCTGTCTGGTGTAATGTACATTGGTTAAATAAAGTTTTTTTGAAAAAGAAACAAGATATTCATATAAATACATAAGGGCTCCACAGTGGCATAATTGTAGCACTGCCGCCATGCAGGAAGAAGGTTCTGGGTTCGATTCCCAGCCCGAGGTCTTTCTGCATGGATTTTGCATGTTCTCCCTGTGCATGCGTGGGTTCTCTCTGGGTACTCCAGCTTCCTCCTACAGTCCAAAGCCATGACTATCAGATTAACTGGCTGTGACAGACATAGACAGCTGGAGAGAGGCACCAGCATCCCCTGCGACCCAAGCAGGGTTAAGCGTAATGGAAAATGTATACAGTACATTAGGGATGCACGATATTGGGATTTTGGCCGATATCCGATATGCCGATATTTTAAAACTAATGTAACCTATAACCGATATCGATACTGATGTTAAAGCTGGGGAAAAAAAGTAGCAATTGAAAATAGCAGTTTTGTTATCCATTTCTGACACTTTGAAAAATAATATACTCAAATATATTTTCATATGCTGATATCAAATTGATTTTAAAAACGCGGTATCGATCTATTTTACTTTCAAAATCTCGTGAAATTTCATCGTTCTGTTACAAACTCTCGTGATATTTTGCAAATTCTTGTGAGATTTTGTTAGTAAAATAGATCGATACCGCGTCAATATATCAACATATAAAAATATGGCAAAATTTTGTGAATTTTCGGGGGATTTCGTACCATAACGATGACATATAGCTATATTTCATTAGTAAAAGAGATTGATATGGTGTTTTTAAATGGCAATATATCAGTATATGAAGCTATTGTGATATTTTAATGTATCAATATTTTTTCCCTCGTCTTTAGACGTTTTTAAGTCTGTAAAAAAGAAGATTTTGAGGAAGAAGAAGGAGTAGTATTTTTTTTTTTTTTTTTTAGACTTTAGAAACTCAGAAGCTGATCAAATATCGGGTTAAATATCGGTGGGGTGGCCGATGTCCGATATTCAGTTTTAAGGCCGAAACAGACCGATACCGATAGGGGGCCGATTATATCGTGCATCCCTAGTATACATATATGCAGTATATCATTTATACAGATACCAGAATTTGCAAAGATAGTCATATTTGTACTTACCTGATTGACAACTTTTCAGATGACTACTTTCCATTATAAAGTAGTCATCTGTTCCATTAACATTATAACATACTGAACTAGTTTTTGGCTAAATTAACCCACTTGTGGCTCCAATCAGGATTGAAACCTAGAACCTTTTGGCCACATGGCCACAGTGCTAAGAAATGCAGCACTCTGCATCACACTTCTTATCTGTCCCATTAAAACAAGAACCTGATCATTGAGGTGCAATGTTCTTAACAGCTGAGATATCCACCCATTGAACAGAACACAGCAGAATAGATCAT